AGCGTGTGTTATAAAAGTTGTTAAGTGTATTACAAAATTTGTATCGAGAAAGAATAAACTAGTTTTAATCAAGACAGGACTTGTATCACTGAAGTTTCTCGGAAAGAATTTCTACAGAAAATGAACAAACAAGCAGATACGTAACAGTATGTCCAATCAAATGTATTTTTCTTTCTTCTGTCTTCGTAAGTCAGTCAGATGTTACATAAAACTTGTAGTTGTCAATTCGCATCGAATTTACAATGAACTCTGCATAGTTCCAGGAAAGAAGGAAGATCCATATTGGAGATTTCCGTACAGCTGAAACACTGTTAGATTGGGAAAGTTTTGGACCACACCAAATGAGAAACGTTTGGCGAATGGATGTCCATTGGACCACACCAAATGAGAAACGTTTGGCGAATGGATGTCCAATGAGGCAGTGTTGTTCAAACTGCTACAAAAAACTGATGAAACATCAAAAATGAAAACATGAACAAAACTAAGCTCGCAAAGTAAACACATTTTGTGCTAACTGTGATAGAATTCCATTTATTGTCGCAAATTCTTTGAAAAGAACTATCTAAAACAAAAAAAAACTTTCCCGTTGTTGCATATAGGGAACTTTTGTGATATGTTTTTTTTTTTTACAATTCTATTTTAACACAAAGCATACACGTAATAAAATGTAGGTTGCCGAGTTTCGTTATTCTGATATAATTATGCTGTTTGTATTTTAAAATGTAGTGCCTTGTACATTTTCATGACCAAAAATAAGTTAATCTTGAATAACGACCCTCTTTACTTAGTTATTTTTCTTTAGAGATACATATAATAAAGTCATGGGCCATGTTAGTTCCATGTGACCAATTAGTATAAGTCATACATGATCGGTAGGCTCTAAGTTGTATCTTTACCTCATTACTGTGAATATATCACTGCTGGAGGATTCTTGTACGAAATTGAAGCATAGGCTCAACAGGCCATGACATTACTCATCTAAAAAGTAAGAGCGAAGAAGCCGATACTCGTTTAACGTTTCATGTAAAAGATGCGTCTCAATATGGCATCGAGTGGACAGTTGTTTTTTAGTGCAAAGTTACACAATGGGTTATTTTCGCTCTATCCACCACAATGAATCAAATCCTTAATTTTAGCATTGTAAGTCCATAAACCTACCGCTTACCCTCTAGAGGACCGTTGGGATTGTGACGTGCTAGCAGCTCTAACACAATTTAGATCACAATTTTTGTATGAAGCTTGGCTTAAAAATAAATCACAGTTCATCCCAGCTAATTTAAATGCGAAGATCAGGAAAACTCTTTTAGCTTATCATGCGTTAAAATTATGTTTTCGCTGGTTTTTGCAAAATATTTACATGGAAAGTTTTGAAGGAACATTAGTGTTATTGAATGATTTAGGGTATAAAACTATAGAGCAATAGAAAGAATTACCTCAGTAAATTTGTTTGTTAGCCTATACAGCCTGCCAAATACTAGAGATCTTAAAGACATACACCCATTAGAAGAGAAATTAGACCCGAATCATTACCACCAATGCAAAATGCATTACGTTTCCAAATCAATCGATTGCATCATCAAGATTCAGTGTAAAAGATTCATCATCAAGATTCATCAGGTCTTAAAACCGATTCAACATATTCCTCTTTATGAGAAAAGTAAGGGGTGGAAATGGAAAGACAATACACTTGTACAAATAAAATCATTTGAATGCAAGTAGAACAATACACTGGTACACCGTGTATTCATGTATTTGCATTCAAATGATTTTATGTGGATGTAAAACTAGGGGCTTCACTGAAACGGTAAAACTACATTAAAGACATTTTTGTCTGTCCCACTTTTTGTATCATTTGGAATAACAAATACATTAATTACGCATTTAAAATTTTGTTGATCAGATCATAGAAAATTATCAAATATCAAACTTTTCTATTTTCAGCTGAGGTTCACGTATCTTGTGGTTAATCCTGTCTTCTTTACAATCAGTAGTGATTTTATTGAATCATTTGAGTAGATATGAAAAAAAAGAGAGCTAACTATTAAAATCTATCGAATTTGATTAAAGGAACATGAAGCCGTCGCTGGATATAAAATAATGTCAGGGATTGAAATAGTAACTCGAAATAGCCTTTCGTCTTTGAGGAGTAGTAGCCAGGCCGGACTATTGATAGAAAACTCGGTTTTTGACGACCTAGACGACCGCAACTGGTCGTGGCAATACCTAAAGGTAAGTTGAAACAAATAAGGTTTAAGTAGCTTCTATTTAATATAACTGTTTTAAATAGTGATACAGTATTTTAGCATAGAACATCGTGGTAAAACGCAAATGAAGAATTAATGTTACACTTTGCTTGTTAATTAATGACATTTTTCTAGATATATTTTGTGTGGGCCCGGCATGGCCAGGTGGTTAAGGCACTCGACTCGTAATCTAAGGGTCGCGGGTTCGAAGCCCTGTCACACCAAACATGCTCGCCCTTTCATCCGTGGGGGAGTTATAATGTGACGGTCAATCCCACTATTCGTTGAGTAGCCCAAGAGTTGGCGGTGGGTGGTGATGACTAGCTGCCTTCCCTCTAGTCTTACACTGCTAAAATAGGGACGGCTAGCGCAGATTTTGTGTTTGTCGTGCCTGGTTAATGATTCCTACTCATTATGAAGTAATATTTTCAGAAAACAACAAATAATAATATTATCAGTATAACAATTGTTAGTGGTTTCTTTTTTCAATCAATATGGTAAGTATTACCATATATATAAAACTCAAAATATGTGTTTGTTTGCTTGCTTGCTTGTTTGTCCGCCGCGTTCACTACGCAGGGCACACTTCCCTCATGTGAAGATGCGCAACACGAAAATTTTTTGTCGATATACGCGTCTATCGTCTGCTAGCCGAACCGGTAATTTTATCGTTAATATATACATTGCATGAATACATTGTACGCAGACTTGATATTTTGTGGTATGTTTGAGTTAACATTTGATTTAAAATATAGCATTATAGGCCTATTTAGTTATCGTTCATTAACTGTACATCTACTAATACATCATATATTTAACCTTACACACAAACGAAATGTATGCAGAATTAGAATGTTGTGTGTGAAAAGCAAACAGTAGGCCTAACCTATAAAATAAATTTATGCCATCTACCATAAAATAGAATACATGAAAAGAGTAAGGCTTAAATTATATTACTTGTGTAAAATGAGATTAAAGTCAAGTCAGGGAATGTATTTTATTCTACTTTTTTTTTCTTTCTGGGGGTAGTTGGATATCTGGAAGTGAATTTTTTTTATTTCGATATGTGATATATATGTTATAAATTACGATATTGCATTTTGTTTGTAGTATATTTCATACATCACTGTCATAATGTGAATTCCGTATCACATTCATAAAAATATATTATATTTACATTAAAGCAAATTCAACATAATATTTGAGAAGGGATGAGGTAGATGGAAAGAATAGGACTAGGCTTATCCTGTTCACCAGAGCTGGTACTCATACATGAAAATCTAAATATTCTCCATAACGGTTTGTTTGTTTGTTTATAATTAAGCACAAAGCTACACAATGGGCTATCTATGCCCTGCCCACCACGGGTATCGAAACCTGGTTTCTAGCGTTGTAAGTCGGCAGACATACCGCTGTACCACTGGGGGGGGACTCTCCATAAGGGCCTATTTATCCTTGCCGGTGAAGGAAAAATAAAACGTCGCTCACAAGGAAGCCCTGATTTAAAACAGGTTCGTAGTTTAATTTCAAAAATCAAACCTAAGGTGTTTTTATTATCAATTTACAAAATATGTTTTACCCATCAAAATATGGAACTCCGAAACAGAGAGAGTAGACTTTTTTCTCTCGAAAACCCGGCCAATACTGCTAGTACTTTTATAAAAATGGGTAATTATTTTGGGATTCATGTACTGAAATAAAACGTACTAACTACTCTCGGTATTACGTATGTTTTTAATAAGGAACATTGGTGAAAACAAACAAATAATTGTTGGATTATTTTTGAAGCTGCTGGGAAGTTTGGATACTGGCTTTTTAATTCAACTAAAATTGGAATCAAAAGAGGAAGCATTATAGAAGAAAAAGTAGAATTAGATTCGCGTAACTCACGAAATTCGGAGAAATCGAGCGTGACCGACTGACTGACCAACTGACACTTGGCTTATATATATATTGATTTTTATGACCTGAGCAATACCAAGCGTGGGGTGCGCATATATCCGATTCAATTTTCTTATTCATCAAGATCTCTACCAACCTACACTTAAATCTAATTATATGCCCAAAGTAGCGGATCGTCCATTTTATATTCGTTTAGATTCGTCATTTTTCCTGTACGCTTATCTGGAAATGTCACTTACTTACTTAGATGAAAATCCATTAAAATACTGAAATTTTGACTCACTCCATAAACACGTTTATAGCTAATTAATCGTCTTTATATGTACAATAAGCTTTAGTTTTGCTCAGTCAATACTGTGAAATAGTCATTGCAAATATTCAGACATTTTAAAGGTGGTTTTAAGCTGGTGATTTTCATGGCCGCCATTTTGTTTCATCATGATCCCTACCATTAAGTACTACCGTACTTAATGATAACTAATTCACGTATCAGAACATGTTAGTTTGTAACATAGTTTTTAAGATATTTAAAAAATATAATTCAACTAGTAGTAAGAAGTAGCTTTTAATTTCACGTGTTTCAAAGTTCGTTTGACGTAGCCCCCCCCCCCAGTGGGTCAGATGTTCATCTAAGACCTTACAACGAAAAAGTCTGGGGTTCGATTCTCCGTGGTGGACAGAACACAAACAGCCAGTGTAGCTAAAACAACAGCAACGACAATGCCGTCGTTTGAAGTATACATATTTTGAATGGCGAAATCAAGTGAACGCAAAATATACATGAGGAATAGTCACTTATTTTTAGCGTATCAATGCCATTTACTAATAGCAAATATTTATTTTAAGCCTTCATCAGCGTGGAATGATGTGTTTTGAGAAGCACGGTTAAATAACACCCGGTAAAGTCAAGCGGTGCCCCATAAAAACTGTATTAATCAATTTTCTAATAATCTGCTATGCTGAATGTCGTTCAAACTCTAATATAAAATCTAGAATATTTAAGAATATTTTGTCTCAAGAAAAGCAACACGAAATATATCTGGAGAGGCATTTTACGCTCAGCATAATCTAACACATTACTTACAAAAACTGCTACTTGTAAGGAAAACTTCGGTATGAATTAACGCACAACTAAAGGTTATATCACAATAAGATGCTTACATTATACTCATATTGTATATATCATTCCTGTCGTGCATTTAAATCTTCTGTCCCGAAACCTGGACTATTAATATTTTCAGGATCAGTTTCAACAGAAAGGAGCGGAAAGTCTGTTCTACAAATATCAAGCACGTGTGCAACACGCGCTTTATGTTGGGTTTCTGATGCTGAATATGGTGTACTACGCTGCTTCTATATTCTTATTATTTCTTCTGTCACAGGTGAGGAATTAAACTTACAGTGAATCAAGTGAAGTTATCATGTCTCTCTTAAATTTTCAATAGTGACTAATAGAGAATTGTCAAATGAAAATATAATGTGTTTGTTATAATGTTAAATATAAGCATTTTTATAGTTTAACACGTTGAATAGAGAATGTTTTAAAGTTATATTTTAATTAAAAGATGGCATCCTATCAGATGTATGTATCTTGTTCACGATAAATTTTCTGTGTGTTATTTAGTGTATGGATTTTTGCTAGTCAATCGGCATTTAAATCATAGCTGTAACTCCTTGGCATCACTATATATATATATATACATATATTGATCCATTTTAACTAATGAAAAAAAAATTCCCGTGTACAGTTTATTTTGAAAAAAGCTGAGAAGAAACCTTTGAAAGTTGTTGAGTATTTTATTATATATAGCAGATATATAGAGATGCTGACATATGTAAGCCCTACTAATATAACCACCCTTGATTTTTCGTGAGTGCTCGTGGGTCAATTTCAATCGCCAGTGAATAAATACAACTAATGCAGCTTATGGACATGACTTCACAATTTTTTGTTAAAATATACCGAGAAATCGGTGAAAGAATGGGCCGTACTAATGATAGTTCGATACCGAATGGTATTGTCCGTAGAGCATCTGGTAGCACCCCGTGCAGGAAACTCAAACGTTTCCTGTGCTGTATCCTTCTCGTAGCCTGTGAATTTCGCCAAAGCAGAGAGATCCACGGAATATATATGTGTATAGTATATTTATTAGTATAGTCTGTATTCAATTATGAAGGCATATCAATAAGTTGCTCAGGTTTAGTAGTATTCACAGACGGTTGAAATCGATCCATGGGCAGTTGTTAGTAGGAGTGATCGTTATATATTCATGTGTATGGTTTTTAACCTGTCAATTATCATATTATCAACTATCAGACACTTGCATGAAAATGTTTAATTAAGTAACAGTGGTACTAAACTTAATGTTTATACATATGATAATAGAATATGTGGTTTAATTATCCTGCAATTACTCTGTCCCCAAAAGATATTCAAGTTTTTATATTTTGTGTATTATACGAGGACGAAGTTACAAACAAATTGTGCACTTAATATTCTACGCAATGAGTGATCACAAAATCTGCAAAGCAAAATGTTTGTCGATCTTGTAAGATTTCTATAAGCCGCCAAACCCTTATATTTCAAACTGGACTTTACTTGGCATTAGCAATCATTTAAAAAAAACAAAAAAAACAGATGTTACTCATGTAAAACTTTTCACTTTATACATGTGCCTTGTAGTGCAAAAATACAGAACTCATCAATTCATATTTGTTTCTAAAATAATCATAAATTGTTTTTTATAACCATATTAAACTTATGTAATCTTAATTCAACAGTATTTTTATAAATGTTCTACAATAATGAGACTATAGCTCATCATATGACTGAAAAGTGTTTGTATAGCCTTACTAAAAGCTAAAGTGATTTATGACTACGCTGTTCCCTTCGCAGATTGATACCAATTTCCATGACGTACTTTGTATCTGACAAAATAAACAGGTAATGAAAGGAATGGTGGCATATTATAGACAAGGCACCATTATCGTAATGGATCCTACTTTATCATGCGAAGAACAAGATTATAGCATTACTATCAAAATGGCTAGAAATTGGGTTAAAGATTACCTAGGGTTTTTTTCCCCTACTTGGTTAAAAAGTACGAGTGAAATATAATTATTTTAATCTTTCTCCTTTTTTTCCTGAACAAATCTTAATTACATGATTTCCTGAAAGGGGTGCGAAGGCCGCCTGGAGGGGTCGCCTGTTTTAACCACTCGCATCATTATACAGTAGCGTGTTGTCTTTCTGTCAGTCAGCTAGCAGACATAAAAGTAACGTTACACAATGGACACTTAACGCTGCAATTTGTACTGTCGTGACGTCGGTAAAACGAAAATAATTATTCACTCTGTAGGCTACAACACATCGTAACATATGAAAATCAAAAGCAAGAAATATAAATTTTGTTACTCTTAATTTTGGTTTTATTTGCTCTTGCAACATAGCACTTTCAGGGACCCTGCGGAAGTACATCTAGTTTTATATGACTTTTTGTGTAAGGTTGAGGGAGATGTTGGAGGCAGTAATATTACATCTCATATTTTTTTTTTATAACTGGTAGATTGGAAATATAACCATTTGCTGAGAGAGGACCAACAAATTAAAATTCTGTTACTTTACCCTATTATTAGTAGCTTCATAGAATAATTTTGTCAGGGCTCACTTAGAACCTACTTTTGAAAAATATTGTTACGACAGCGGAAGTCACGCGACTCTGGGATCATACGTGCTGCAGTTTCACCAAGGAACATGAATTTGCCCAGCAACTCTAGTTTGATCGAGACGTCCTCTTTTTTAGTATATAAACCTGGCGAGAAAAACCAGCGGGATTGAAGAGATAGATATAGAGATAGATAACTGAGTCAAGCGAACAGTAGGCACTGTAAGTAAATTGTGTGAATCACTGTGATTTATAGCGTGTGTTATAAAGGTTGTTACGTTTAAAGTGACTGGGGAAATTCTGTGTATTACAAAGTTTGTATCGAGAAAGAATAAACTAGTTTTAATCAAGAAATTACTTGTATCGCTGAAGTTTCTCGGAAAAAAATTCTACAAGAAATTAACAAGCAAGCAGATACACAACAAATTGGTGTCAGAAGTGGGGTAGAAAAAGAGAGAGAGAAAAAAAGAAGATGAAAATGAGAAGCAGCAAATCAAACTACAGCTTAGCAAATTTGATGGCAGCAATACAAAAACAGCTAAGGAAACAAGAAGAACGAGAAAAAAACAAGAAGAGAGATTACAGCAGTTGTTGGAGGAAAAAGAAAGGAAACAAGAAGAATGAGAAAATAAACAAGAAGGGAGACTACAGCAGTGGCAAGAAAACCAGCACCACTGGCAACTGGAACAAGAAAAGAAACAGGAAGAAAGACTCCAACAGTATAGATGAAGCCAGCACACACAAATGGAAAAGATTAGTAAATTTCAAATTGAATTAAATACATTAAAGGATGATTTACTATCTTTTACACAAGGAGGATATATTAGCCATGGACCTAATCAGCTCCAGACAATAGGAAGCCCCTTCCAGATCCCTCAGCTAAACCCTAATGCAGACATCTTCAGTCCTGTCAGAAGTCACATTCCAGATATGCGTGTCAGCAATAGGGGTGATCTAGTATGAAGGAAGCCACAGGAATTCGATGGGAAGACACCATGGGAAGCATATAGAGCACAGTTTGAGCTCCTGGCAGAGATGAATGGATGGGCAGAGGAGCAGAAAGCAGTATATCTGGCTACGAGATTGAAGGGACAACCACTGGAAATACTTGGACACTTGTCAGCAGACGACAGACACAACTATAGAGCACTGGTAGCTACTATAAAACTAAGGTATGGAACTCAAAATCAGTCTGAAGTCTACAGGGCTAGGTTTAGGACTAGAGTCCATGCTAAAGGAGAAAGCCTGCAAGAGCTGGCACAGGATTTGGAAAGTATGGCACACAAGGTCTACCCAACTGCACCACCCGATGTCCTCAAGCTGTTGCTGAAGGAGCAGTTTGTAGACGCCTTGGACAGTCCACAGCTGAATATACAAGTAAAGCAAGCACACACCTCTACTGTATAAGATGCAATGACCAGAGCTCTTGAATTAGAATTAAGTCCAACACAGAGTTACCAAGGTTGGTACAGTCATCAGGATTCAAGGCCAGGTCAGCTTTCAGAGAGGTTTGAGGGACTTTGCTGGCACTATAACACACCTGGGCACAAGAGAGCTCAATGCTGGTAACTTCAAAATAGTGAAGATGCCACGGCAGGAAGGGCTGCTACCCAGAAATGGTGTTGGAACTGTGGAGAGCATGGACATATGAGGAGCAAGTGTAAGAAGAATACTACCAATAAGTCAGCTTTGGGAATCAGTAGTGGTCAGCTCCCGTTGTGTTAGTCCAGAAGAAGAATGGGACCCAACGCTGCTGTATGGACTTCAGGGCTCTTAACAGTATAACTGAAAAGGACTCATACCCGCTACCAAGAATT